CCAGAGTTTTTCTTCTGGAGCTGAACATTGGTTTGGGTGCCAAATGCTTGTTATGTAAGCATTGGCTTAAAGGTTCTGCAATAGCTTTAAATATCTCAATGAACATTTTCTTGACCTTTGAGGAGGCCCAGAACCCCCTGGTGACCCACTGTGTGCAACCTCCACCAGCATGGATCACCCCCAGCATCTTGGGGCCTGCGGCTGCTTCCTCAAGGAAGGGCTGGGTGCCCTGAAACCCCAGTTCCTTCAAATCCCTCTGCCTAGCATTTAGCCCTCAGATTATCAGAGGTTCTGATGTGCCTGCCTGGATACCTAAACTGAATGAACTTAAATTCCCCGACAAAATGTTTTGATCCCTTGAATATCAGGATGCCACAAAGCACCCAGCTTAGATCCTCTTGCTTAAATAGGCAGTTTGCAACTTTCTGTTTCCAACTTACAATCTGGCTATTTTTCTAACCCTCATCTTTTTCTTAGTGTATCTTTAAGTCTTTTTGCACATCAAGAGTGTTGCTAGCCATTCTGTACTGGCATTAGATTTACCAGAACCCACAATTAGAGAGTTCAAATAAAACTTGCATTTAATACAATTAAATACTTTTTACTTAAGTCAAAGATAAATGTGAATTATGTCTTCTTTGCAACAGCAATGTAAAATGAGCTGCTGGGCCTGTTTTCCAAGGCAGCGTAAATTTAAGACACATTTAATATTGACCAACAATGTTTTAAAAACTTTTTAAATTCATCAGAACTGCTGGCAACAAGGAATTTATTAGATCAAATGCAGTAAAATATAATGATGCAATATAACATTTCAAGATCTCTTCTTGAAATGTTAATAGACAGTATACCAGGTAACAGAAAATATAAAACTTATTTTCCAGTATAAGTGGTATTTTTAAAGTTTTCATGCCAAGAAATTTTTCCATAACCTATGTTAAAACAATAACCCTAAATAGTGTTTTTCATGGGGGTGTTAAAACTAGGGATTTATAATTTAGAGATAAATAAATAAAATTTATAGGATTTCATTTTTTTCTGTCATTTATGTTTTACTTCTAAAATAAGTAGTTGCTATTTTATGTTTTCTCCACATAGAAGAATACTGGCTAGGGTTTGCTACCATGAAGATTAATGATAATGGTCAAGTTCTTATATTCTACAGTGAGGTGCCAGACCACCAAAGGGGAAAGAGGTGCTTGGAGAGGGTGATGATGTATATGTAGGCAAAATAACTCACCCCAGAGATGTCCATGTCTTAATCCTGGTTCTGTGGTTTAAAGTGTCCCCACAGTTCATGTTTTGGAAATCCCTGATGGGACAGTACCAACCACTGGAACCTAAGCATGGGGCTTGGTCACAGGCTCTGCAGGGTGGGTGCATGCTCTCACTGCCAAGGCGGAGTCATTATAAAGCAGCTTTTGGCACCTTTCCCCCTCTCACTCATGTGATGATGCTTTCCAGCAGTGAGAAAGCCTTCACTCACCATGGCCCTTGATCTTGAACCTCCCAGTCTGCAGAATTGTGAGCCAAATAAGTTTCTGTTCAGTATAAATCACCCAGTCTGTGGTATCTTTTTGTGTCACCACAGCATAGATGAAGACACCTTGGAACCAGTGAATACACCAAGTGATATTGCAGGCAAAATTAAAGAAGTAGATAGCTTTAAATAGATAGCATTAAGATTGTTAAATTGCTGACTTAACAGGGTGATATTATCCTGGTTTGCCCACATGAGCTTGGTGTTGTCATCAGTGTTCTTATTAGTGGGAGAGGGTGAGTCCAGTCAGAGACGCAGCATGAGAGAGACTTGAGCATCCAATGCTGGCCTAGTCAAGGAACCAGGCAGCTTCTAGAACCTGGAAAAGCAAGAAAATGAAGTCTACCCTAGGGGACTAAGAAGGAATCGAGGCCTTGATTTTAGCCCAGTGAGACCAATTTCAGTCTTCTTACTTTCAGAAAAGTAAGAGAAATTGTATTGTTTCAACACACTGTGAGGTCGTTTGTCATAGAAGCGATAGCAGACTTGCACGGTGCAAAAGTGGTGGTGCTTGACTGGGGAACGCAGAAAACAGTCCAGAATAGGAAGCCCCTTGGTCTCTCTTAGCCTGAGAGTTCTCTTCTACCCGTGACACTTGACCCCCTGAGGGACACTGTAAGGGGATCACAATACATCCCTCCCTTCTAAAAGACATCTGCCATTATGGTGTGGAGAATCTTCTTTACCTTTTCAGTAAGAACCAGCAGAGACCAATGGGGACCAGTGAGAGTCTCAGTAACATGAGAAACAAAGCAGAACACAAAGATGGCATAAAGGCTCTTAGAATTAAGTCATCTTTGGAGCCAAAGTCCACAAAATAGGGCAAGACCACATGCTAAGCCACAACAGGGTGTCTTCCCACTACAAGAAAAGATTTCAATAGGACCCAGAGTCACTTAACATAGTAGGCAACTTATATACAGGACAAAATAGAAATCACCATCATATTAGGACCCTCCAAATTCAAAGCCTAAATGAGAAAAAATTAAACAACTGATGTCAACACCAAGATGAGCCAGATGTCAGCCTTATGTGAAAGAAATTAGGAGCAGCCACCATAAAACAAACATTAAACAATTAGAAATGGGTGTGAAAGAAGAAAATACAAAAACTGTGAGATACCATAAGTAGCAGGAAAGAACCAGTGGGAATCATGAAACTAAAAAAGATAATCTCAAAGAAACCTGGATCCGTTCAAGAGTAGAGTGGAGAAGGGAGAAGTAAGAAAACAGAGACTATGCAATTGGAATAACAGAGAAAAAGAATGAAAAGGAAACCCAATTTTAATTCCATAGCCTCAATATGTTGAAAGTAAACTGATGGAAAAAAATATACCATCTATCATTATAAAAAAGAAGAAGAAGAATAAGAAACTGGGGTGGTGGAAGAGGAGGAGAAACAGAAGGAGTAGGTGGAGTGGTAATTTAGTATCTGATAAACATTAAATAAAAAAAATTGGGAAAGGGAAAGAATAATGTCAATCTTCCAGGAAGATGTAATGATACTTTATATGTATGCACCATGCACCAGCCCCTTAGAATGCATGCAACAATAATAACTGGTGATGCTAAAGAGAAGACAGGAAACCCACAACAGAAGTGGAGGTGTCAATGAACTCTAACCAGCTACTGACAGAACAGCTAGACAGAAAATGAAAAAGGACATGGAAGATGTGAACAACACTATTATGCAACAGGATCCAGTTGACACTCTCCCCAACAACAGCACAATGCTCACTTTTCTCAAGTGCCCATGATATTCCCCAAGGGAGACCACATCCTGGACCATAAAACAAAGCTTGACACATCTAAAGAAAGGAACTCATACAGAATGTGCTCTCTCACTCTCAAGAAATCAAAGAAGAAATCAACAGAGGACAACAAAAAATCTCTAAATATGTGAAAATTAAAGTATACACTTATAAAAAAAATCCATGTGTAGAAGAGGAGGTCTAGAAGAAGTAAATAAAAAATCATAGCACTGAATAAGAAGGAAACACAGCTTATTAAATTTAGGGCTAAGAGGAAGATTTATGGTACTAAATGCTTATGCTAAATGTAAAGAATGTTCTCAACTCAACAACCTAAATTTCTCCCTGAACATACCAGAAAATCAGGAGAAAAATTCACCTAAGTCATGGAAAATGGAAAAAAAATGACAAAACTATGAGCAGAAAGCAACAAAATTGAAAGGAGGAAATAAATACCAAAAAAAAAAAAATCAATAAAACAAAAATTTGCAGAGTTCCTGTAGCCTTTGCTAGAACATGATCCAGAAAAATCAGAACCTGCTGCTTTAGGATTGTTAGAAACATTTCTATGTTTCAAAGTTTTTGTAGAGCGCCAGACCTATTATTGCAGAAAGTCAACTTACAATTATTCATAATTAAAACTCTCATCAGTGGCAGTTTTTATGTTTGATATGCCACAGATTTTATAATCTGTGTTAACATCAAAATATTTTAGGCATCATTATTTGAGAATTATGCAAATATTCAAATGGAAATAAAGCACTGTATTCCTAACCAAAAAACACAGTTGAGAATATTAATTGTTTTTAAATGTAAGAAAACTAGCTGGGTCACATATGAGATTCAGCAAGTTTTTTTAAGTTTTCTGGAGGAATTTTCTCATCTTGAAATGAGTTTTGTTGAAAGTTACATCCACTGTGTTTGATTTTTCTGTGAAAATAAATACAGAAGAGCCTGTCACACTCCAGGGTTGGCCATGCCACAGGGAGGCCAGGGCTAAAGAACACCCTGAGACTCTTTCATGTGCATATTCCAGAATGTGATTGGGGGGTGGGTATAAAATAGTATTCTATAGCACAGGAATTTATTTTTATAAATGATCTAATATAATCTTTCCAAAATGTCATTCAAGTTTACATCTTAGGGTACAGTTCTTCAGATTAATTTTATTTTTAAGAGCTTTCTTGTTTTACTGAACAAATAGTTGAACATGGAAATTTTGACCAAGCCACTAATTTGCAATGTTCTGCATGGGTGAGCATCAAAAATTAACAGAGAACTTCTATTTAGGCACAAGGTGTCTGTGACTTTTCTCCAGTAATTTTTCCTTTATTTCATGCCCTCAGATCCCTTTTTAAAAGCTTTATCTGAATTAAGAATCTGCTGCTGATTCTGATACCAGTTCAAATCAGCAGGAGTACAAAATATACTACCAAAAAGGGAGAGATCTGTTTTTGAAAAAAGAAAACAAGTGTCATTGTTGTGCATCTGAGACTCCATTTTCATGCTTTCATGAATTCTGAATGAAGCTGAAAGAGAAGAGTCTGAGCTGGAACTGAAAGCTTGGCTCCATGGTAAGAAAGGAGACCTGGCTGGGGGTTGGGTCTGTGAGGCTGCATGTACTTAAGTGTGTCTCAGACCCACGAATGTCTGCACAGGGTAGAAATGCTTGCAGGGTGATAGAATGAAATTTTTGCGATTGTCTTCCAGGAAACAGCTTCCACAGTTTGGAGTCAACTCTCCGGCGGCGGCGGCAGCAGACGCCAGAGACGCAGCAGCCGGAGCCGCAGCCTCAGCGCCTCTATCCCGGGCCGCCGCTCCGCCACCGTCCGGCCTCCTCCAGCCGGAGCGCACATCGGGCTCCCGCCACGCGGGTCAAAAGCCTCGCGCTCGCTCCTGCAGCCTCGGGAACCGCGTCCTACGAGATAGCCGCCTTCCCGCCCGCCCCGTCACCTCTTGGCTCCTCTGGCAGCCGCTTCCTTGGGCACTGACAGCCGCGCGGCCGGGGCGCTCCTGGCGCGGGCCCGCACCCTGCACCTACAGACTGGGGACCTGCTGAACTGGGGCCGCCTGCGGAAGAAGTGCCCTTCCACGCACAGCGAGGAGACTGATCACCAGTTAGTTGGAGGTGGCAGATGTTAATCTGGAAGTATGCACTTGTAACCCCTTTGTTGCTGACTGTTCCTGAGCCAGTGAGTAGTCATCCATTCACTGCACAGCTTCGAGATTGTATCCAAAAGACCTTGAATGAGTGGAGTTCCCAAATCAGCCCAGATTTGGTCAGGGAGTTTCCAGATGTCTTGGAGTGTACTGTATCTCATGCAGTAGAAAAGATAAATCCTGGTGAAAGAGAAGAAATGAAAGTTTCTGCAAAACTGTTCATTGTAGGATCAAATTCTTCATCATCAACTAGGAATGCAATTGACATGGCCTGTTCAGTCCTTGGAGTTGCACAACTGGATTCTGTGATCATTGCGTCACCTCCTATTGAAGATGGAGTTAATCTTTCCTTGGAGCATTTACAGCCTTATTGGGAGGAATTAGAAAACTTAGTTCAAAGCAAGAAGATTGTTGCTATAGGTACCTCAGATCTAGATAAAACACAGTTGGAGCAGCTCTATCAGTGGGCACAGGTAAAACCAAATAGTAACCAAGAAAATCTTGCTTCTTGCTGCGTGATGCCACCTGATATAACTGCATTTGCTAAACAGTTTGACATACAGTTATTGACTCATAATGATCCAAAAGAACTGCTCTCTGAAGCAAGTTTCCAAGAAGCTCTTCAGGAAAGCATTCCTGACATTCAAGCACATGAGTGGGTACCACTGTGGCTGCTGCGATACTCTGTCATTGTGAAAAGTAGGGGAATTATTAAGTCCAAAGGCTACATTTTGCAAGCCAAAAGAAGGGGTTCTTAACTACAACTTATGGTCATTATTTACCTGTGTTTTCCTTGAATATACGATAAAATTGAGATGTATAAAAATCAATCTGTTGCCTATAAATAGTGTCATTTAGGCACATATTCTTTAGCTGTATTTGACAGAATGTTGTCTATCAACTTTTGATTACTTCTCTTGCCTCCATCAGTCAAGTCACATGAACCACTGTATTGTTTTCATTAAACTATTATTTTCTAATTGAAATTGTCTAGAAAGAAAATACTTGCAATATATTTTCCTTTATTTTTATGAGTAATAAAAATCAAGAAAATTTGTTGTTAGATATATTTTGGCCTAGACATCAGGATAATGTATATACATATTTTTTATTTCCCCCCAAAATCATTAATTGCCTATTACTCTATAATATAACTAAGCAGTTTTATTATAATTGTTAAAATGAAAATACTGGAAGATATTTTTTTCCTGTCATTAGTAAACTAATTATATGTCAGATTAATTGGAGCAGTTGGGATTTACCAGTTGGGATTTACCAGCAGTTGGGATTTACCATTGAAAATGGAAGGAAAAAAGAACAACATTGTTGATAAATTTAAAATGATAAAAATTCATTCTTCAGTATATGAATGGAAACTTAAAATAAATTTTATGTATTCTTGCTTGTAGTTTAGCTGTGAGATTTAACCGTATATTCTTGTGCCATATTTTCTCTTCCTATTATTTAAAAGGGCAAACTAAAGTAAACCTGAAAAGGAAACTAGAAACTTTGAAAATATTGTTTGGGAGCTTTGTAAAAGCATTCACTATCTCCAGATTCTTTGTAATTCTTAATCCATCCTTGGCATATTGCTCTTCATTCAAGAATATTTATTAAGTATTACACTTACCACATGCTGGGCCCTACAGGCTCTGGAGAGTGGAAGGGTGCACAGAGAGCTAAGGATTAAGATTCAGTTGAATAAAATATGTGATATGTATTCCCCATTAGTAATGGACTAGGAGGGACTAAAGCCAGAAAATGCTTTTTAAAAATTCTTTAATTCAGGTCCAATACTGTCTGTTCAAACAACTTGGTTTGAGATGTGGATCTTAACTATTTTATTTTATGATATTTTGGTGTTGAGAATTGAACCCAGAGCCTTACATGCTGAGCACATGATCTACCACTGAGTCACTCTCCCAGCCTAGTCTTAATTAATTTAAAGCAGAACAATATAATCAAGATTATATGGTAATTTAGTGTAATTCCTCATGAGTTTAAGAATCAGAAAAATTACAAATTAAATAAGCTGTTACCTTTGATATATACTATAGCTCTCCTTAATTCCATATACTTATATCAGTAAACCAAATAGTTTGAAAAATTCTTTAAAATTTTCTACATCTCAAATTTTTTTAACTTAGGGAAAAGAAGTATGGTTCCATGTTCAACAATAGAATCTTTTCCTAAGTAAGGTTTTGTGGTCTTCTGGTTAGAAAAATTAATCATTAGAATCATAACATGAAATCAACTGATTTACTTGCTAAAACTTGTTTAGACTTTGAATTTCTTAAAGACTTTTAGCTTTTATATTAATTGTATAATATTATTAGTATACAGTTAACTTCTTAATTTGAAAATGTACATTTTTCGTATACTGTAAATCTTTAAGTGGTCATTTCAAATTTGTGAAGTAAGCTGGCTGAGGTATTTTAAAGGGGAACTTGAATATCACACATTTATCATTTTTTAAAACCCATAACTTATAAAAATGGATTGTGTAAAGGGTTATTTTGAAAATGGAGGGAAAAAAGAACAACATTGTTGATAATATCCAAGCTTTATCAGGAGCTTTTTTCTTATCTTTTTTCTTACCTACGCCCCAAGAAGCAAGATTATAGATTCATTTTGTGAAGGGGATCATGTATGGAATTTTTTAATGAGTTTTTTGTTTCACTCTGTACTCTGAATTTCTGTTGCTGAATAACCTTAAAACAAACAAACAACAACAACAACAACAAAAGAAACCCTGAGCTATATCCCACCCCTTTTTATTTTTTGAGACAGGGTCTCGATAAGTTGATGAGGCTGGCCTCAAACTTAAAATCCTCCTTCCTCAGCTTCCCAAATCCCTGAGAATACAGGCACATGCCACTGTGCCCAGCAAGGACTTACTCTTTTAAAAGCTATAAAATGAAAAGTGGTGATACTACCAAATAACTGCTTAAAACCGAAAGCTAAGTTAGGAATAGTGTACATAACAGTTATGTTTTCAGGGGAGATGTGAATCGTGTGACCCCAAGGTAGAGTTTATATGTTTTTTTTCCCAGTAAGTACAAAAGAAACTGTAGCTTGTTATTACATTTCCAAACTACTCTGGAGCCTTGAATTAACATAATGTACTGTAACTTGGAATTTGCTCCATGATACTGCATTAAATTCCCATACAAGAAATCATAAACACCAGAAGGACCTAAGTGTCTTATAAAATCTGTTTATGTGGTATAAATTCTGAAAACCACATTGTGCTAGTACATTAATAGAGTATTCATTTACGGATGGATGGTCAGTGCTAAAACTTGAATCATAAATAATAGCTAATAATTTTTCAGTTCTCAAAAATGACTTAGACAACTGTGTGTAAAAAGGAAAATAAAAAGTTATTATCTACTTTGCATGAATGATTCAAACTTTTCTATACAGAACTAATTAGTCGTACTTAAGGGTATCAGTTTTCAGTAATAATAGGTCTAAGACCCATTTTTTCTTTCTATAACATTTTCTTTCTAGGTTTTCCACCCAGTATCTTCAATCTTCGGGATGTAAGCACCTGATATATGTATTGTATATTGGCCAACAATTCATCTTGCTGCCAAACGTGCATTTTGAGAAATGTGCAGCTATTTTAATAATTTAAACCATTTGTGTTCTTTGTGTATGCATACTCAAATACATCAACTTATGATTCTGAACCTGTTTTTTCATCATTAACTTTCAAATGTACCAACACATGTACCTGTCTTTTCCCCATAAACTTGGTGATGGGATATGTCAGTTTAATTTTTAAAGTATATGTAGCATGATTTACATTAATATTTTTATGATTTTAGAGATATACTTAGGAAAATGTTTTAATTAGATAATTCTTTTTATGTGTCTGTTGTAGTGTACTATAAAAGCAAGATATAAAGCACTGTTAGCTAAATATTTATAATAATTTTTACTTTTGCCTATATTATGAATTTAACTAAAATAAAATGTGAGTTGTATATTTTAAAAAAGAAATTTTTGCAAAGTAAACATTATGAAAGGGCTGTAGAGATGCCTTGGAATATGAGAACATTTATATCACACTAACTGTATGCATTCCTGAGCAACTACAAGTATTATGCATACATAGAAAAAGATTTTATATTCTGTAAAAACAGGAGCTTCTGAATCACAACAACTACATACTTTATGTGTATATAAATAAAGTTGTAAATCTCAAATGCACAAAATACCAGTACCTGCTATCCCCATTTAACGTTTGTGTATATAAACAATACTGGACACTTATAAGATGCTGTGTTGAGCAGACAGCTCCAATAACAACAACAACAAAAAATAGAACAACAGACTTGAAACTGGTCTAGGAGAATTTATGCTCCCAGCTAAAATCCAAATTCTGCTTCTCTAATTGTTGTGTTCTCTGTCATGTACTGCCCAAGATTAAGCATTCATTGTAAGACCAGGTAAGCAAAGAATAAATGTGATAGTAATTGGACTCCCTAATTGTGTCTATGGCCTGTGTATTTTAGAAGCATATCCCATGATCTCTGTGCTCTGAGGTTGCTTTGATCTGTGTACCAGGTTGTGGGAGGTGACTTTGAACATTGTAGCAGCTCTCCTTAGTTAGCACAGAGGTGCTATGGTAGTGGTCCATAGCGCAGAAGGTGAGCATGTCTGTTCACCAGGTTTTCTCATCTATTCTGCCCCTGATTTATAGCTGTAGTCTAGGAATTTCTGTCTGGACATTTTAATTGTCAGGTCTTCTAGGGCCCCGGCTACATGGAGGTAATGTAAGCATCTGTGTATGTCTTTTGTATATGTTTAAAAGTGAGGACTTGTTTTTTTTTCTCTTGCCTGCATTTACTGTCCATTTTTTCTTTATCAAGTCTCCTAATGGGGCAAATACCACATTACCATATCAAAAGGGTTCATACATACAAAAGGAGTTTGTTAGCCCTCTGGTTGGGAAGTTCAGGCTGGGCTGGGTCTCTAGACCACCAGGTATTTATCTTTCTCTCTTTTGCATAACTTATCTTGGTCTGTGCTGGCATCTATCTAGAGCAGCTTTTCTCCATGAGTTGAAAACACAGCCCTAGGAGATTCCATGCTCACATCTTGCTTATAAAGAGCAATCTCAGAGGAGAGAGCAATGCTCTGTGGACTTGCAGCCAGGCAATCTTCTTAACAAAATCTATTTGGTTCTGTTGAGTTATCTGCCCATTCCAGTTGTGTCTCTAGCTCCAGGGACAGGAGGAAACAAGATGGACAGGCTTAGTTGCAGCTCATATGTTTGACATAAAAAAGCAGCTATGGATAGATCTGGGCCTTGACTGCCTGGGCTGAAATCCCTGCTCAGATCCTTAATATCTCTGCAAATCCAAGTAGGTCCCTGAAATATAATAACAATAGTACCTGGCATGCAGGATTGCTTTGAGGATTCAGTGAGCTATGTCTGTAGAGGATTTTGACAGTTCCTAGCATGTACTAAGGATAACATGGCTTTGGGGTCACAGTCATCACAGATGGTTCTCCTTGGGGGAATCCAAGATTTGTGGCACTAACAGAATCAATGACACTCCTCAGTGCCAGTTAAGTCACCTCTCTCCTATAGCCCAGAGTTCGGATGTGGAGAGAAGGTTAAGTTGTAAGAAAACATGAATCCCATGGGAAATCTACAACAAATCATGATGTCACAAAATTTTATCATTGGAATAAGTGTCCTGAGTTCAATTTCCATCATTTATTTCCAGGGTTAGTTGTTCTTCAAGTGAGACCACTTTAAGTGAGGCAGAGCTGTGGGCTTGAGGTGAAAAGTGGCTCATATTGTGGAAAATACAGCTGAGATTTACACATTCAATACATTATTCAATAGCATATTCAATGAAACAAAATACTAGTTCTTTATGTCTGTTTTTTAACAAAGCCATGTGCTTTACTTATTTGAGAATGTAAAAATAGGTGAAAGACGGCTGAACTCTTATCTACATGAGATATGGATCTGTTTCTGTGCAAGTTGCCATAGTTTCTAGAAATTGCTGAGGACAGTTTGCTGAGAAATTTTTCTTTCATTTCTCGAAGTCCAAGGGTCAAAGACAAACTAACCAATTGGGTTGGGGGTTCCCAATAATTAGTGGTGTCCTGGATAGTCTGTATTTTAGCCACTTTTCTGCCCTGTAGCTAGACATTCATTATTGGGCTCTAAAGTTTGTTTTGTGTGGGTTGAGCTGATGAGGACACCTATTAACATCCCTCAGAAGACCCAGGGGCATCTGCTGCAACCTCCTTCACCTCCAACCAGCTCATGAAATATGGATTGCAGCGGGAACATCTGTCAGTCTGAATTTTTAAAAAAACATCCTTACAAATACATGATAGATTGTTATTGCTATTATTATCTTCTTTCCTTCTCCAACATCCACATTTTCACCATCCACAGCCAACAGAGCAAGGATGAAGATCTATATACGTGAGTCTTGGCTTTATTATTCATTATGTTCTATCCTTTGGCCTGGAGCCTGGAGAGCTATGCACCTTAGTTCAGAAATCTATTTCTTGCTTATGCCTTACATTTTTTTCTTTGCCCAACTCCCAGCAACCTTAAAACTCTTGCATTCAAGAGAGTGAGAAGAGATGGTGCCTTCTGAGTGGCAGGAAGTGTGTGTGTGTGCGCATAGGCCTTCACCTCCAAGAGGAGGGCTTGCATTTTCTCTTTAATTAAAACAAACATGGCAGATACCTAAGCCAAATGAGAATCACATATATGAGGGCCCTGGGATGGTACTTACTTGGGAATAACTTGTCTTTCCATGACATGGTGAGGCAGACTAGCTAAGAACAAGGACACAGAGAAATTTGGACAGAGATTCAGACATGCTTATGGGGGAGGGTGCCATGTGGGCCCTGGACCCCACTGCCCCAGCCAAGGAACTATCAGGTACTAGGACAAGAGCTGGGGAAGACCTTTCCCTGAAGGTTCCAGAGGGATTAGGGCCCTGCTGAGGCCTTAGCTTACACCTTGGGACTCTAGACCTTTCAGATGCTATTTGCTGCTTCAGCCTCCCTGTGCTGGATCTTCCTGGTGGCTCCCAGGAAACTGGAAACCTACCTGGGCCATTACCACATCTTCCTGCCCTGCCTATCTTTTTTGCTTGGTGACCAGAATTCCTTTCTCCACATGTCTTCAAGCACCAATTGGAGCTTCCCTCAAAGGCAGCCTGCCACACTCTCTGTTGTGAGGAGGCACTTATATGGTCAGGGACTTTGATCCAAAATCTGGGCACTTACTGTTATAGTGTGACTTAGAGAAAACAATGTGTCCTAAGGCCCAGTGTCAGTTTTGCTGTAGCTTGCTTCTTTACAAAGCAAATGAGTTGCCCCCCACCACAAACACACACAATCATTAATTTGAATTTATGATATGCATGATATTTATAATTTTGACTGGTTGTTTGGTTAGAATTCTAAATCTGGAAGAAAGAACAATAAAGTGGCTTTCAGATTTGCAAGAAGCAAGAGTCAGGCCCTAGGGCAAGCATTGAAGGTGATAGTATTTCATGATGCCAGTTTGAATGTGCCCTTGTGAAACTGATCTGTCAACCAAGCCCCATGGCTGGGAAGGCAAAGGACAACCCATAGCTCTTACTATAAAAGCACTCAGTGGGTGGAAGGCCTGTAGTCATGGCAGAGAGGGCATTGGTGTCCCTTGACAGATTTACTGATTGCCCTCCTGCTTTGGATGTTGATTATATCATGTGTCTGGGTGAAAATGATGCACGAGCAGCCCCTGCTTTAGAGGTGACTAGCATCTCTTGCTCTGTGCTGGCCTGTATCCTCAATCAAAGGTGGTACAGGAATGAGAAAACCAAAACCAAGTCCCTTCTCACTTTGTGGATGTAAGTTTTCACACTTATTTCACATCACCACTTCCCTTCAGCTTTTATGCATCTTGTACATAGGCAGAAATGTGGGTAGGCATGTCTGGGTGTTAACAGTTTTCTTAGCTGGATTTCTTTTTGGTGATGAGGCCATTAGTAGTTGGTACGTCATCTCAGCTCCTGTTGCCACCACCTACATCTGGGTGCTTTGTGCTCAAGCCCATGAGGAAGAAAAATCTACGGCAGATCAATGGTGATGGCAAGTTAACTAAAATCAAGATTCAGTGATTTGTTCTCATGACCTGAAGTACCATCAATGTTGAAAACAAAGAGCAAAGAGGGGTGGAGATTTTTTGGCTTCTGCAGGATGCTGAGCGGCTGGAGTGCAGCTCCTAGATACCACTGATCCTTGGACCATGGTGCTTTCACTTTAGAATTTAAAAAAAAAAAGGAATAGCACCCAATATCTTGGGCCTTTTTTGGTTATCTGTGTCACCCTGCAGTTCCCAGCGTAGTTCCTCTTTTCTACCAGCACCCTACCTCTTTACCTAAATTAGAAATACTCTTTCATATTAGACATGTCCCTTCTGTTCCTGGCAAAAGCAACTCTGGGCCACTTAATTGTTCCCTTTTGAATGGAGGGACAAATCACTGGAAAAGTGTATGTTCTTCTTTATGCATAAGATCCTTGTCCTCATCCCTATGGGTCATGGTAGTGCTCCTGAGTGAGGCCCCCTTCCTGTCTGTCTGGCTGCCAATCCTGGGCAAAAACAGAGCTTACCACTCCTGCTTTGATCTTTGTCTAATCACCTCTTTCTCAGAGTAAC